GGCTGGGTTTCCTCCCATCATCTGCACCTGTCCATCCCATCAGGGTGTATACCTCCTTTTTTGTTTACTTCCTTTTTTGTCCTTCTACACTGTCCCATCCCACGGAAGCTAATCTTAATGATACGTGATATCGTAACATTTTCTGTGTTTGGTCTAACCTTTTAATAAGCCTAATATATCTAAATTTAGTTGAGAATTTAGAATTTTATGCCTCTGTCTTGCAGAGATTAATCTTGAATGGCATCGGGTTTTTGTGTTAACTCTATGTATGAACTTATCAACATAACTTGTCAACGTAACTTAACATCTTAACATGTTGGGAACAATTCACAAGGTAAGTAATGTCACATGAAGAGATATGAATAGTGGGGCGCCTGGGTGGCTCAGTTGGTTAAGCGACTGCCTTTGGCTCAGGTCATGATCCTGGAGTCCCGGGATCGAGTCCCGCATACGGCTCCCTGCTCAGCAGGGAGTCTGCTTCTCCCTCTGACCCTCTTCACTCTCATGCTCTCTGTCTCTCATTCTCTCTCTCTCTCAAATAAATAAATAAAATCTTTAAAAAAAAAAGAGATATGAGTAGTGTCCTACAGTAAAAGCTGAGTTGGACAAAACACATTTTACATTCATGGGCACGGGCAATCCTTTCCTGCACAGCTCCTATTTCCCTCCTACCAAGGACACTTTGGGAAATGCTGAGAGAAATCTCTTTCACCATCACAATAAGTGGAAGGAAGCTAACAAATACGGAACACCACCCAGTGCCAAACGTTACATGTTTGATATGAATTGGTTTTTACAAAAATCTTCTGAGAGTGTTTTCTTGTTGTCCTTTCTCAGTTATGGAAACTGAGGTTCACTAATTTCGGCACACTTGTTCATGTTCACAGCTGGTACAACCAGGAACAGAATCTATACCTGACTCCAAATCCCATGCTCTTTCTACAAAATTTTGTTATAGCCGCTCATTACATTTTGTTATAGCCACTCATTACATACATTTGATAAAAGTGGCTCTCTTGAAGGATTTAGGATAGAAGTTCTTAAACTACTGTGACTACTTCTATTGGTAAACAACAAAAAACCCACAAAAACTTATTTTTACATGATTGATTTTTCATTTTACTGGAAAGTAACTTAGCACATGTCGTCTCCCCGGTTGGTAGAGGAGGTGAAGGAGATAGATGTTAAATTATTTGGTGATGAAGCAAGAAAGAATGTCCAAAGGAAAGTTAAGTTTGCTCAATAGTGTTAATGACAATTTTCTTTAGGAAAATATGATAAAACAGGGAAAAGTTAATTTAAGTCAGAACACAGACTCTCCATTTCCTGTATTTAAAAAAATCCATTTTGATTTTGTAAATTTTCTTTTTTTAAAAGGTTTTATTTATTTATTTATTTATTTGACACAGAGAGAGAGAGAGAGAGAGAGAGGGAACACAAGCAGGCAGAGGGAGAGGGAGAAGCGGGATCCCCACTGAGCAGGGAGCCCGATGTGGGGCTCGATCCCAGGACCCTGAGATCATAACTTGAGCCGAAGGCAGATGCTTAACCAACTGAGCCACCCAGGTGCCCCAATTTTGTAAATTTTCTTAATAATTAATCTATATTCTGGGACTAACTTTTAATGTTTTATGGGAAAGATGGATTTTTGTCATAGTGCTAGAGCCTTATGGAGCTAGGAATAATATAAAAATAAATTAAAGGCTGAGGGCACATTCTGCGTGGAGCACCGGGTGTTATGCACAAACAATGAATCATGGAACACTACATCAAAAACTAATGATGTAACGTATGGTGACTAACATAACAATAAAAAATTATTAAAAAAAATAAATAAATTAAAGGCTACTTGCCCTTTTGGATAAAATGATTCTAGATTCTGCTAATTATTGAAAGAATACATTTTTGTAAAAAAAAACTTACAAAATTTTGCTAGAGCACTTGAGTATTATAATATTTTGCTCTATATAAATTGCCAAATTCTGACTGTCTTTTGTGCTTTACGTAAAAATATGATACTTCTAAAGACATTGAAAGTCCAAAAAATATGTTGGAAATTAAAAGGAGCTTTACTCTCCCTGGCTTCAGTGCATCCTCCCTACAGCTGCTAGAATAATTTTCTTTAGACAATAGAAAGAATAGAAAGTGCCTCTGTTTCTTTTGCATGGCTCATCACTGCACACACCATACATTTTTATAAAAATGAAACACATTTCTAGTAAATGACATTGACAAATAATAACATCCAAAATAGATATTTGATCAAGGTGAGACTTAGGATATGTGTAGAATTAATACATTATCTAAAAAAAAAAAAATACATTATCTAACACTGTACTGACTCAGACAATTTTGAAGCCATTCAGGAATTTTAACTTAACTTCTCATTGAAGAACTACTCTGCATCTGAATTAACATTCTGCTACAGAATAATCGTAAGTTTATAATGTTAAGAATTTAACTTTGCTGGGAAAAAAACCCATCATCCCACTGAGATGTTAAAGCAAAATTCATTTGGTATAGTTCTTACATAAAGGCATTTTATTTCCTGTAATTTATTTATTAACAACCTATGAAAATGTAAATTATTAGTTATACGCAAGTTAGCACTTCAGAAAATGAAATAAGGAAGTTAGACGTGGGCTTTGGTGGTTTTAGTTCATTGGAAATTTTACCAAGTTTGCCTCATTAAAATATTTTCCTAGGGGGCTTTTTGGATATAGGAGAAAATTCAAATGAAGAATTGTATTTTATTTTTTATTTTGGTGTTTTCCATATTAAAATATACTGCACAATGATCCAAGGTAATATTTTGTAAGACTGGCAAGCATAACATTTGAATTAACTTATCTGATTGTATTATTATAAGGCTTATTTTCCACTTTAAAATATATTAAAAATGTGTGTGTGTAACATATACATATTCCTCACAATATCCTTGACAGTCTCTGAGCTTTAACTCTCACACTTGTAATTAATGAAAGTTCTTTTGTTTCAAACAAGAAAAACTCTGACTTGAAGAACTGATTGGAGAGACACTGGGTTGCTCATATCAAATACATGGAAGTTGCAGAACACGATCAAATGTAAAGTGCCGTGTAAGGACCATGGCCTCCCCAGGGATATGTGGGCTTGAAGTTCAAATTCCAGCAATGGAGTGTCCGGTTAGCCTGGTTTGGATCGCAAGGTTGCCTCTTGCCTAGGAGAGGCCCGGGCACTTTAGATCAAACTGGGTCCAATGAGGAAAAATAACTTTCCTAAAGGATACCCTGGTGCTATTCCAAAACAAAACAACAAAACAAAACAAAAACAAAGGAATGGATGTTTGGAAACCAAGAAACAAGTCTCTCAAACTCATTTTCTTCTACTTCAGCATAGCCAGATATGCCTGCACGGGTGTCTTGGAGTGACAGGGGGTGGGTGTCTCATTTTTTAAAAAAAGATTTGTTTGTTTTAGGTGGGGTGGGGGGAAGGCAGAGGCAGAGGGAGAGAGTCCCAAGCAGACTCCATGCTCAGTGCCACCGAGAGCCCCACTTGATCTTACGACCCTGAGGCCATGACCCCAGCTGAAACCAAGAGTCAGAAGCTTAACCAACTGTGCTGCCCAGGCGCCCCTAGGGGGTCTCATTCTTATTCTTGCCAGCTGTGCGTGTGTCTGTGGTTGACTGAGGTGGGTCATCAAACTTCGGCTGCAGATAGGAGAGAGAGGGGAGCCATGAGGTTCCCCCACAGACGTGCAAATTAAATTGCTAGTCCATCTAAGCACACTCCTGCCAGGCAAGAGCAGACTCAGGAAAATCAGTTAATAAGATGGATTCTTTTAGCAAATTAATGCTCAGTAATAAGCATATCCAGGAAGCCCTAAGGGTTGGGTTTAGTTTACCAAATAGTATTTCCTGAGACCCATAAATTGTGCTCCTCCTTCTGATATTGGAATGGAATAAAATCAGAGGAGAGCAGAGAAAAATTATCTTATAATTTAAATTTATATTTAAACTATGAAATAATTTGTGCAATACACAAATTAGTCAAATTCACACATTCCCATAAACATTAAAAGTCTCATATTACTTAGCAATTACTGGCAAATTATTTGGTTCTAGATCTCAACATTATTGCATCCTGTAGGAGGCCTAGGATGGAGTTGGTCAGCATTCTTGGCAATATATTATACATACAGGGATTTGAGGCAACGTGAAAAAAAATTAGCTTTATCATGCAAAATTTCCCATTTGAATAAATCTCCCCGGTCACAAATGGAGAAAATGAGGACAAATAGGTAAGAAGGGAGAGGCAGGGTGTGTGGAGTGTGTGATACATGTGCACGTGTGGGGTGTCTGTGTGGTGTGTCTGTGTGTGGTGAGCATGGTGTGTGGTGTGTCTGGGTTTTGTCTCTGTGCGTGTGTGTGGCATATACGTGCATGTGGTGTGTGTATATGGTGTGTGTGGTGTGAGTGCAGAGTGAGTGTGTGGGTGTGTGATTTGTGTGTGCTGGTAGAAATTTCCTTTTTTACAGAATCACAGACACCGGGAGTACAATTGTTCCCCCAGAATACCTTTCTTCCTTGGAACAAAAGACTGATGGGAGTGAAGAGGGAGGTATGTAAGAAGGAAATGAAGCAAGAGAAATTATTTCTAAAATTATTAAAAATTGCAGCAAATATTTTCTTTTCTTTTGAGCTGTATAACTGGAGCTTAGGCAATTTTGAGGCAGGGAAGGGAGGATCGTAGTGTAGCTGCAACAGCAATGCACCTGATTCTATATCTCCTTCGGATCTAATATTGTTGGGGTCCCTGGGAAGATGGAAATAAAAATGGCAAAAATGAAAAGGGGGCAAAAGGACCCCCAAATTGGGGAGAATAAAAGCTGCTAAATGGCTCTGTCCTTCCCTCCAAATATGGATTCAACCAAAAATAGTGCATAAAGACAGAGGCAGTGTGTGATGTTTGGCGCTGCCTAAACATTTTTGAAAATAATGGGTATTCATCTAACAATTGTTGTGCTGACTTAAGCAGCGCATATACTAAAATTGGGATGATACAGAGAAAATTAGCCTGGCCCCTGAGCAAGGATGACACACAAATTGGTGAAGTGCTCCATATTTAAAAAAAAAAAATTAATAAAAAATTCTTAAATTGAATTACTGAGTTGGGAGGTCATAATGTCTTTTAGATTTGATTTCACTCGTGACTGAGCTACATTAAAAGTATTGATACATGAAAGCGACCATTTAGACCCATACTTCTACCATGTAATGCACTTGAACATTAAGTGATAGAGCTCAGTAAATAAAGAAAATTACCCGGAAGTCTGTTCATGCTTCATATTAGCAATTTAGTCCGAAATATCCTTTTTGTCAGAAAAATGGGGTCAACTAGCCCCCAGACCTTACCAGACCCGAAGGAAGGTTTTCTTTTTGACTTCATGTCACAACCAAGACAAGGTGAATATACCTTTTTCTTCATGTGATACCTTCAAGGTCAAATTCTGCATGATCATCAAAAACTTAAAATGTGCCCTCATGTTCCATTTCCGGGATAAAAGAGACTGTGTGGTACGACTTCCTCTCCTTTCAAAGGACACAGCTGTTCCTCACATAATTTCCACAAATTGTGTATGATAATGAAGCAAGTGCCACAGCTGAGGATGACCCTTATCATGGGCTGAGACAGAAGCCCCCAAACAAATGATTTGGGGACAGGGACACAGGAGGGGCTGGCTGACTCTTGGGCCAGGGCTGTAGAAATCTGTCTTCTTGTAGAAATTCTGTCTTTTGTTGCACTCTGAGCAAGGGCTCCCCTTTCTACATTTGCAGTCACCCACTGGGAATTCAAATTAAATTAGGTCCCACTTAAATTGGAGTTCTTCCCATTACATTAGCATTTGCATAATCTTGCCAATGTTTGCCAACTTGCTAATTAATAATGGGATGACTTCAATAATAGTAGTAGGATGGTTAAATCATGTTTTATTGCTGTTTGATTTACCTAGAATGAATCTGTCAAAGGGTACGTCTTGTATGTATGTTCAGTTTTTATGCCAATAGGTACATCTCAGTTGGCAAACTTAACCCACCACTAAAAGTTGTTATTGCAATGACTTCTCCACGAATCTGAGGAAATGGAAATTAAAGAAAAAAAAAAGCATCAATGAAACTGACTTGTAAACCCTGTTGTTTTTCTGATTTACTTATGCTGAAGTATTGCTCAAGAATGATTTGTCTCTTTAATAAGTAGCAGCAAAAACAAAGCTTTAGAGAATTAACGTAAGAGAAGGATAATTCTTTCCCAGGAATTATCTTCCCAGTAGCCAGACTGAGGCTGAAAGTATTTAACTTTCTAAGGCTGGTTCACCTTCCTGTTACACAAAGCTGCAAGTATATTCAGAAGTTGAAAAAAAGGAAAGAGTCTGAGCTGGAATTAAGTAGTATAACTTCTGGAAGCTGGAGCCAGATAGTTTTAGCAGTATGTTGGATTGTTTTTTTGACAGCAGTATGACAGCTTTGTTTTATTTTCTTTCTTTAGGTGCTTCTAGGATTACAGATATCCACGGATCTCACACTCATGCTATACATCTCCTCACAAAGAGGACCTCCAGTTGGTCCTAGCAGAAACCTTATTAAATGGATGAACGTAATACTTTTAAATCTGCTTAGTCTTTAGACATCTGTCATGCCACTGTATAATTTAATTGCAATAGAATTTGGATACATTCATTTTTTGCTTTCATAGGTTTGAGAAGTCAGACGTGTTGTTCATCAATAATTACTCAATCCATGGGAAGAAAAAACAGATTTCACCCCAAATCCATGTGTCTCTGAACTACTACTGTAAGTACATATGAGCACAGCAAAACCATCATCATCACAGTAGGGTTTTATCTTTCATAATCTATCCCACCAAAAAAATGAAGGAGGCTCACAATTTCTCCCCACCTTAAAGGAAGGATCTGTTGAAAGCATAGTTTCGAGGTTACCGTTTTATTCAGATTGAACCATTCATTTAGTTTAAGGACATCTATACAGGTCTTCAGTCCTATTCCCAGGTTCACCAAGGTCAACAATGACGAACACAGTATCTAGTCAAACTGGCTAAAGAACCAAGCCCTACAGAAACAATAGGAGCAATGTTACAAATTTACAACTGCAGAAACTTTTCCCCCAGGGAATATATATTTCAATCAACAGAGAGCATCGCTGTACCAAAAGTGGAGTTGCTGAAATCATGAAATCAGTCTCTGTAAATCCAGCAGCAATATGCTGAAGAGAGTTTCAAAGAATGGCACATAATCCATCTGCCACATCTCATTTCGAGGAAACTGGATGTTGCGTTGGGTTGTGTAATGCTGGCTTCTCAAACTTGATCGGGATCTCAGCTGTCCCAAGTCTTTTCCCTCTCTCCGTGCCAAAGGGAAACACTACCGCACACAAATCATGGAGTAGATGATGTGCAGTTGTGCCGACACAAGCCACCAGTAAAAAGAAAAATGAGGGCCCTCAGCCAAGCTCTCCCTTTGGCCGGTATGCTCCTCCACTTGTGTGTGTTTCTACTGATGGGCTTTCTTTTCTGAGGAGAAACCTATGAAAAACAGAAGGAAAATGTTTCAGATTAAAAATTAAAAATTCATTTCTTCTGGCTCAGGGCTAACATAAACTTTGAGGCTGGCAAAAAAAAAAAAAGAGAGAGAGAGAGAGAAATATTTTATTCATGAGCTCCCACAAGTTTACACTGAAAAATCAAGAGGCGGGCAATGGAGGGTTATTATCTTAAGCATTGACATATGCTTACCACTTTGTGAAATCAGCTGTGGCCTAGTTCTACTCGTGCCTGAAGAGGAATATTCTGTACTACGTCTCATTTTTGCTGACCTTTTGGTGGCTCAGGCATTTGCTTAGGAAAGTAAGTCGTATATGTTACTATTAGGTTTGGTACTTAGCCCACGGGAAGGTAACTGCCACATAAACTACTTTGAGTATGGCGAAGGGTACATTATCATCAAAGTGATAGAAAAGATCGCAGTGCTTAAGATGTGTCAATGTACCATGAAGGCCAATAATGAAAGCCGCCGTGTATTTCAGAAGGACTAGAATAGAACACCACAGATGAGCACTATAAGGAAGACACAGTCGAGGAGAGCTACTCACGGTGACAGAAAAAATACATATAAATTTCAAGAAATAAGGTATTTTCCTATTCATGATAACAATTGAAAATACGTTAAATGTTTTATTCTTGCCACCTTGTATTTGATATTTCGAATAAACAAATATTTAAACTAACAGTTTTCTTTCCAGGCTTAAAAAAATATACTCTTCTAAGGATGGTGGCCATTACACTAAAAAGATACCTAATATGGTAAGAGCATAAATTTGGACCCAGAACCATAATCCACTGGACTTTAGATTTAATCCATTTATGATGCCTGCCCCTAGATATCTTAAAACATTAAGAAAACTTAATTCCTTTGTAGTTTTTATAGCACTCTTGTGAAATAGGTATAGAGGTGAGGGTCATTATCCCCATGTTTTAGACAGAGAGAGGTTGTGACCCATGAGAGGATCCATGGCAGAATGGAAATGTGAACAAAAGCAAAAAACAGGTCTTCAGTTGCTTGAAGGGAAGGCGGAGGGTCCCCAAGCAGTGAGTGTGGGAAGAGACTTCTGTCATCAGACTTGGCTCCATGGTTTGAATGGCAGGGTAAGAGAAACGCCACCAGGGAATCGTGGGTTCTCACAGCGCTAGACACAATCGGCTTTGCCTTATTGGTTGGTAAAGAATTCCATTCACTAATTGTGTGCCTTATTATTTATTAATGGTATGCGTTGCACTCTATCCTTTTATGTTCACAAGAGTGCACATTAAGTACCATGACGCGGAAGTGATCTGAATAGGACCCAGAGATCTTGGTGGCAGAGTCCATGTCTGCCTCTACATCAGGGATCGGCCGAATCTAGAGTCCTCTGTGAGACGAGGATGCACCAGTGCAGCAGACAGGTTCCAAGGGGACTCTGCTCTCTATATGCGCACTCACCTCAGAATGTGCATGCTTATGCAGCAACAGTAAGGAAACATACATAAGTAAACGTTCTTACCAGTTGGGATGCAATATCCAATAGAAACCTTGTTTCCCAACAGATTTTTATTTTCCATTTAAGAGAAATAGTGCAGTTGTATTCACCTAGTGGAACTGTGGCTAGTCTAGCCTTATTGTGTGCATTTTTCTCATCCAGTCTCTATCCATCCACCTCCCTACCTATATCTATCTATATAGAACATTAATCAGAATGTTTAGTCTTTGCTTATAAATCGGTGTCTGCACAGGAATATATTTACCACCTGTATTTTCATATGTTCCTGTATATATAAATATACATTGACAGTTTATTTAATATTCCCTTAGCAAAATCACTTAGTTTACCAATAAGCCGGCCTTTACAGCATTGTAAGGTGAGGATGCATTCCTCCTGCAATTCTTCTCTACAAATCCAGAAATAGACATAAAACTATCTGTCTCTAAATTTTTATTAATATTTTTATTAACTGCCGGTAAGGTAAGTAATGTATTTTATAAAAGAAAAATATTAATATTTTATCCATCTGTATTGAAAATCACACAAGTACAGTCTCTAAGTTTCTTCTGTTTCTTACACCTCTTAGGTAACTTCTACTATTTATACTGACTCCTATATCCCTTCATACTACTGAAAAAAAATCCAACTAAGCCAGCCATTTTACCGAACTAAAATGATCTGTAATGTTCAGTTATAAAGACAGTTATGAAAAGACACAAACTGAGAAATAAAGGTTCTGGCTTTCAGGACAGGGCCATTAGAATTTATTTAAATAAAATACCTCCAAATGATGACACTATTATATTTTAATATGTAGCCTGGGGTTGTCCATATTGCTCGGTGGTTACAGTGTGGGCTTTGGAGGTCGACTGCCCAGCTTGTCTATGTCCTAGCCAATAACCAGCTATGTGGACTTGGACAAGTGACATTATCTCTCTGTTCCTTGGCTTCCACAATTTTAAAACAAGAACAACAGTAGTACTCACTTCATAGAGTTGCTATAAGGTTTTGATGAGATAATATACAAATAGATACA